GAAGTCATGGACTGATCAGACAGTAACTTTTAAATTATCAATTACATATCCATCTTACTTCCTGTAATCTCAGTGTTGGACAACTCCACCTTTACACCTGACCACACAAACAGCATGTTCAGAGGCTTACACCAAAGCAAACACTAGGGTTATTTTCAGCACATTTCCATTTCACAGTTCCTGATCACTACCCAAAGAGCAAGAAGGGCAGAGCTAACATCACCCGTGGGGTCTACACTCCTTACTTCATTGTGTCCACGTTCGCAGGTAGAATATGCTGCAGCCTTCAGGGATGTCACAGCCCATGGACTGTATGAGCTCAAAATGCCCCAAGAGCTCATCAGGACAGACTGTCAGACCAAAGAGCTCCCAGCTGAGTGATGTGGCTAATGCTGTAATTTTGTGCTGGGTGAGTGAAGTGGTACATGTCTCTTTTCTGGTTTGTCAGGAAAATAACTATGGAAAACAACTTTTGTGACACAGAAAACAAAATGTTCATGAAAATTGTATGTTCCCTTAATGGCCAATTATCATTTAGGGACAAACCATAGTTTATAAAAATATTAATGAATTTATTTGAAAGGATTGTATCATATTTAAATGTCCAGAAGTTTATCCCAGATTCATAGAATGCACCAGTAGTGTACACAACAGAATTGTGGGGGGGTTCCTGTATTTCTGTAAAACTGAGTGTCACTTTGCCAGGAAATTCCACCCCTTCCCCCCCAATGAAAGCTTCTGATAAAATACAATAAATTACAGTACGTATATTTATGTTTAATAACATACTGGAATAGCGATCAAGAAAATAAAATCAGCTTTTGAAACTTGCCAATCTAATATTCAAATGTGCCTGGCAAAATCTTGGAGCAGATTCTCCTGGAAGGCTTGCTAAGGCACATGAAAATCAACAAGGTGCTTGGTGACAGCCAGCATGGCTTCACTAAGGGGAAATCCTGCCTGACCACTTTGGTGGCCTTCTATGATGGGGCTACAGAACTGATGGACAGGGGTAGAGCAGTTGTTGTCATCTACCTGGATTTGTATGAAGCGTTCGACACTGTCCCACATGACATCCTTGTCTCTAAATTGGAGAGACATCAATTTGATAAATGGACCACTCGGTGGATAAAGAACTGGATGGATGGCCGCATGCAAAGAGTCGCGGTCAATGGCTCAGTGTCCAGCTGGAGACCAGTAACGAGTGGTGTCCCTCAGGGATCGGTGTTGGGACCGGTCTTGTTTAACATCTTTGTCACTGACATGGACAGTGGGATTGAGTGCGCCCTCAGCAAGTTTGCCGATGACACCAAGCTGTGTGGTTCGGTTGATACGCTGGAGGGAAGGAATGCCATCCAGAGGGACCTTGACACGCTTGTGAGGTGGGCTGATGCCAGCCTCATGAAGTTTAACCATGCCAAGTGCAAGGTCCTACACCTGGGTCAGAGCAATTCCCTGCACAGCTACAGGCTGGGCAGAGAAGAGATTCAGAGCAGCCCTGTGGAGAAGGACTTGGAGGTGTTGGTTGTGAGAAATTTAACATGAGCTAGCTTCAGTGTGTTCTCACAGCCCAGAAAGCCAACCGTATCCTGGGCTGCCTCAAAAGGAGTGTGACCAGCAGGTTGAAGGAGGTGATCCTGCCCCTCTACTCTGCTCTTGTGAGACCTCACTTGGAGTATTGTGCGCAGTTCTGGTGGCCTCAACATAAAAAGGACATGGAACTGTTGGAACAAGTCCAGAGGAGGGCCACGAGAATGATCATGGGACTGGAGCACCTCCCATATGAAGATAGGCTGAGAAAGCTGGGGCTGTTCAGTGTGGAGAAGAGAAGGCTGTGTGGAGACCTCATAGCAGCCTTCCAGTATCTGAAGTATCTGTTGTGGTGGGCCTCTTCATTAGGGACTGTAGTGATAGGACAAGGGGTAATGGGTCAAAACTTAAACAGGGGAAGTTTAGATTGGATATAAGGAGGAAATTCTTTCCTGTTACGGTGGTGAGGCACTGGAATGGGTTGCCCAGGGGGGTTGTGAATGCTCCGTCCCTGGCAGTGTTCAAGGACAGGTTGGACGAGGCCTTGGGTGATATGGTTTAGAGCGAGGTGTCCCTGCCCATGACGGGGGGGGTTGGAACTTGATGATCTTAAGGTCCTTTCCAACCCTAACTATTCTATGATTCTATGATTCAAATAGAACAAAATAGCCCCTGAAAAGAGATTCTAATTTTACTGAACTCACCTTTCAATCTTTTGCACAATCACGCTTGAACTATTAATTTTTACATCAAACTACATTTTTAATAAAAATACTGATTATTTGAAAACTAAGAAACATTGTGTCTGGTATCATGAAAGTGATCACTGCTGTGTATAAAAACAAATGACGAAGTTATCATCCAGGGGTGCATACCTGGAAAATGTCCTCTAACCCTATGGTCTTTTTCTGATTTCCAGCTGCAACTATTTTCATTTTTTCCTAGTTATCAGCCTAACAGCTCCTGTGTTATGGTCTTTTCTTTAGTGCAAGGCAGCAAAATGCAGAAGTTACTCAGCAGCTGTTTTGTTCCACCCTTCATGCACCCAGTTGCTTGCTACGATCTTATGGAATTATCTGAAATGCAGAGAATGTTTTTTTCCTACGTCATTAGTGTGCAACTGGTTTATATCCCTCCAAAATGTTTCAGCTTTATCGCTCTTTTCAGATCATTACTGTAGACTGAAATATTTCCATTTGTAATTCTCAAAATATTTATTGTCTACCAAATCATTGACATCCTTTTCTTCTTGCTGAGTTCTTTGCGTGCCTGCGATTTGACTGCAATGACTCCAACACTGCTAGGCAGGTTCCAGTGTTTTATTCATAACAGTTTGTTATAGAATTGTGGAGCCATGTTTTACAATGTAATATTCATTTTCCTTATGTGTCTTTACTTACCAAAGTATATTAACACATATGGGGGGGGAAAAAATAGAAAGATGATTCATAAGCTTTCCTATAAAAATACTACCAGGCTCTGCAAGACATTTAGTATGTAGCTGTGGTGCACAGTCATTCTTAATCATTCCTAGTAAAGAGAGAATTAGCATTCCTTCAATAGCTTATCTTTATAAGAATTAAAATTCTTTCCAGGATATTTAGCTCTTAGGGCATTTTATCACAGCACGTTTCTGTTATAAACATGCTTTTTCTTGTTAGGAATGACACTATTTTTCCAGTTAGTTATCAAAGCAAATTGTTCCTAAATTTATAGCAGTCTGACATAAATTTACAGAATTAAATCATAAATCTTTACTGCTATGTTCAAAAACATAGGATGACACATGCATTTGCCCAGTCATAGTGGATTGTGACTTTGTGGATTGCATTGCACATGCAGTCAGATATTCTGGGTTTTTTAAGGAAATCTGAGTCATATGTATCTGTGATTTAATAAATATGTTCCTTTAATTGCACCACCACCTTCCTGACAAAAATATTTTGTAATAAGGAAGAGAGGATGTTGAAAATATTGATCTGTTGCTCCCCAAATTTGTATTATATACATGAAATGACATTGAATTGAAAGCTACAATAGCACTACCACTTCCTCAAAAGGATGGAACTAAGGATGCTAGTCCACAGGAGGGATAAAGCGAATACTACAGTGAAAGCTTAGTGAAGGACTTAGACTATTTATTAAGTATAAAGTTGCTTGTCTCTTGGTTTCCCATCTCTCTCATGCGGTTGATTTAGTTTATGCTGATGAATCATTGTGATGATGATTCTGCTCAAAACAAGAAAGCTCTGTCACTCCAGAACAAAGCACTTCTGAGGCTCAGTTGCTCTTCTCACTGTAGTTCATCCCTGGCACTACTCTCACAGTCATGTCTCTGCTCTGGTACTAATTTTAGCCTTTGGATACTTCAGCTGTGAGCCGTAGCCTGTTTTAACCACAAATTACTTTATGGGTTCCTATGGGTCTGTTCATGCTCATGTTTTTCTCTTCTGACTCTCCCTTCTCTCAAAGGGGAGTGAACCTCTACTATCCTCCCATACAATGGCCTTTCTTAATTTATAATTGCTTTCTTAATTCTTTTTCCGTTTCCATTTCAGCCTATTTTCTCTCCTAGCTCCTGAAATGTCTGTTATTTCTGTCCTTTCTTAAAACAAAAAAAAACAAAAAAACAACAGACTAGAATTTTTGACTGAAAACTTTCCCTATTAAAATTGAATTTGTAAGCTCAGTACAAAAATTAGAGAAACAAAAAGAAGAAAGAGGAGAAGAAAATATAAGACACATTATTTGACATTTTTATTTCCTTTGCTAATCTAAGTAATGTCATTTGGAAAAGCTTTATGTATGATATGAAGAAGGGGTAAGATAGTCTTATTGACCAGCCCCCTATAGTAGGGAGAACAGCTATTTCACATACCGTAATCATGATCATGGCATTAAATGGATAATATTGATGAACAGCTGGTCATCTCATACCTGAAGCCTAACCCCCTAAACTCTTAGATGACCTTCTATTTTCTATTTTCCTGTATTTTTTCAGGGAAATAGCTGATACACCTTTGAATATCATTATAATAAAACATATTATTGTGACTGAAAATGTAAATATGCATATAAGAAAGTATTGTTTAAGAAATTATTCTGAAACCCTAACTCCAGCATTTGTAGAAAGGGTGTTTTGGAAAATGAAAAAAGGTCAAATATTTTATAAGAATTTCATTGACTGGAATCTCTATGGAAAGATTTGCAGTTCTTTTATATGGAACTGAAACCACACAAGCGCACACACATACATGTGCAAATATACCATCTGAGTATCTAGCATATTTAATTCAGAACAAAACAAAAACTTCTTGATCTGTCACCTCAGGAAGCTGAGAGCTTAATGAGTGAAACATCAGATGCAATTCAAAAATAACTACTCAGAAGAACAACACAAGCATCATGTCTCTTCTTGATGTAACCAAAGATAAACTGACAAATGTCACAAAATGTTACTACTATGTTACCTTTATGATAATTTGCTGCTCTTGAATCATCTCTATGCTAGTGAGCCAAGGGGTATTCTAGAATTAAAATACATAATTTAATGTAAAACCTTTATAAAGTCAGTTTCTATCCTGTTGTGGCAGTGCTAGGTTAATGGTTGGAACTCAATGATCGTAAAGGTGTTTTGCAGCCTAAACAGTTCTGTGATTCTATCAGAGGTAAATATCTAAAATGGAATATCTAACATATTTGGAGGAGACTTAAGGGGTGACCTAGCATGCAATTTTTCATCAAGGTTATTTTCATTAAAACAGAAAATTGAATTTTCTAGTGGCTATTTTCATTTTTCTATTCTGTTACTTGAGACAAGAGCTACAGCTACCTGTGTTATAGCTGCCTGTATTTCAGGCTAAAAGGAAAGCCACAAAGCTGACAAAACTCTTTGAATGGGCAACAGCAAAGAGGAGCAGAAGGGCAAAAAGACTTCACATTTATCTGCTAGTAACCCTAACTGAAGACTAATAATTTCACTTATGGAAAGGAAGAGGAGGCTGAGCAGTACTTTCTGGGCAGGCAGACAAGTAGCAAGCCAAAACTCTCTGTAAACACTTTTTTTTTTTTTTTTTGAGAAATATCTGTTAAAGTAAATAAAAAAGATTGCATGTAATGTTGGGAGCAGGAGGAGGGGGGGAAGATCGTTCATTTTAGTTTTTACCCCTAATCAGAAGTCAAATATTTTCCAAACTATTTTATTTAGTGTTTTAATAGCATTCTGAAATAAATAGGTATATATGATTCCTGTAACTGACATTTCTTCATATGCTGGTGCCATTTAAGTGTTTCATATGGTGTTGGAATTTTATTCTATTGAAAACTTCTATGCGATTTTTTTATATTAGCATTTTTCCTTTTTTTTTATTACAATGTATACAAACTTAGTTTCTTGCATGTTGTTTAGCTGTCAGAATTTTTGGTTTGGAAAATCTATTTTTTTAAAGAATCTTTTTATAAAAGAATTAACAATGAAGAGAACACTGAGCAGAACTGTTGCAGCAGCTTATGCTCAAAACAAATAGGGGGAGTTGCTATGGTTTTTCACAAATAACATGTTGTGTAGTATCAACTGAAGCATAAGCTCTGAGGACGCCTTCCCTCAGCACAGCTGAGTTTTCCTATCACTGAAAGGAACAATCACAGAATCACAGAATCCCAAAGGTTGGAAGGGACCTCAAGAGATCATCTCGTCCAACCCCCCTGCAAGAGCAGGATAACCTAGAGTACATCACACAGGAACTTGTCCAGGCGGGCCTTGAATATCTCCAATGTGGGAGACTCCACAACCCCCTTGGGCAACCTGTTCCAGTGCTCTGTCATTCTCACAGTAAAGAAGTTCTTCCTGATGTTAACAATGATAACAAGCTGCCAGAATCAAGCTACTACATAGGCAACAAGTAATTGTTGCAACACAAAGATGTTGATAATTTAGTTATTGATACTTGCTTACTGTAACAGCAGAGAATTAATTGAAAAAACCTGGGAGAGAAACAGTATTTCTTCAATTGGCAGAAAAGAAGTCAAAGAGCTTTACCTTAGTATGTTTTTCCTCAAAGCCAGCCAGGCATAGGGTCAGTTAGGTTGTCTCAATGGATTGGTGACAACTTGCTAGGATACCACAACTCAATTGTATTCAGCTGTGTGCCATGGCCTTCAGCTTATTAACACAGTGTTTCCAGTTGTCTCACTGTAGTATTAATTCTTCTGTTATGCTATCAGTATTTCACATTTGCACTGTGCAAACTTTCTACCTCAATACTATCTGCTGTACCTGGAATAGTCACTCCAGTCCACTGTTGGAAAGCTATCACATTTTATAAGCTCAAAAATAAAGTGGGAAAATATAAATTTATGATATACATATAAACCCACTAACTCAGAAAAACAAGTTATTGTGCATTACTCTGTGCTTACCACCATGGGTCCCAACACATACAGATAGCTGCATTGGTGTGCAAAAATAAACATTATGTCTTGAATTTTTTATGGAAATACAAAATTTTCCTTCAATGTGTTTTATGTCATAATAAAATCTTCAGGGGATCTGTGTTTCTTGCAGATTTTATTCATTCCACTGAAGCTTAGAAAGCCCCACACAAGGTTGTAAACTAATGAATATACTCTAAATAACGCAAACCCAAACATTGGCTTTTGCAGGGGGTGTGAATATATTCAGGAAATAATTATGCTTGACACTGTCAGTGTTTGACCTATTGGAGCCCCCAAAGCAATCATGTACATGACTGAACATGGGAATTCTGACTTAATCTCCTGAATATAACATTTTAATAAATTGTAACTTGTGCAGTGAGCCATAGCACATGGGATTTAGCTATCCTTGGTTATCTATTTAGAGCAACTTAGGTTAAAAAATACAGCTCAGTTATGTAAAGATTCTTTACATCTTACTCTCATTGAGAAAAAAATAAAAATAATAATAATCAGGATAGGTTTACCTATCCTGAGCAAAGCATCTTCTAATCCATCTCAGCTGACACTGTAATCATATGAACTGCACAACCACATTCCAAGGGCAGGACAGCTTCGAGCAGAGATCTGTATTTAAAGCAGATTCCCATTAGCATAGCAAGGAAAAAAAGGATACCAAAACAATTTTTGTGAAGTCTTTGCTTCATGCCCTACAGTTGTAACGTCAAGGCAGTCTATAATTGGAGCATGCAGGGACCAGTGACTAATGTAAGCAAAGGTGCAGAGAATTAGCTGAAGTGCTTTCTTTAGTTTTGCTTGTAGACAGGAATACTAGGTGCTCTGATGCTATTCCTCAGACTGCAAATATTGGCACACCCTGCTCAAATACAACCACAGAAAGAAAACACAAAAGAAAGAGAAAACACCCACTGTAGATGCCATATCTTCTACAGTATTTACAACGTGTATGTTCACACCCAGCATGACCATACTTCCAGTATAAAAACCCTATGCATTCTCTGCAGTGACACATTTATGTGTGCAACCACTAATAAAAAGACACCACTTTTTAGCTTGCTCTTCAATTGGCTCTGCTGCCCTGTCCCTTGCCTTCCACATTTTCCCCATCTGCAAGACCTATTTGGTATCTTAGAGCATTGGTTGATTGTCAGCTGGCTAAATGCTAGTAGGAAACATTAGATAGTTGTCATTATTACTCACTATGACCTGAAAGAATGTCTTTTACAGTGCCTTCACTCTTGGTTTCCCCTCTAAACCAAGCAGTATCTGCAGTACTAAAAACTCAGTCACTGGACCTTCAGCTTTTTCTCAGTAAACATAGAGCTTGAGTAAATATTGTGTAGTTGAGAAAAGCATGGATGCTTTGACTGATTAAATGTGATGGAGGGACAGCTGACTAGGAAGAATCATCCAAAAAAAATGTGAACACAAGATGAAAACAATGCATTGTCCCAGCAAAATCAAGATAGCTGGTGTGGACTTCTAAGTTTGACTGTATCTGAACACACTATTATTTTTTACATAGATGTATAAAATATATTGGTTTTGAGCAGGTTTGGACTTTGGTGAAATCCAGCGCAGTGCCAGGATCAATGCACCTTTGAAATAGTACCTAGGTTTGTGTTGACCTTTGATAAGAGGATAAATTTCACCCTGTGCCATTAGTGCTGCCCACAAACATAAAAGGGATATGTTTGCCTTGCCTTAACATCTTTGATATTTACTTACTGCTTTGCTTGAGATATCAGGTATAAAGATGACCCTATCTTTCCTGACTATGCTGAAAAGGAGAGATATTTGTATTTAAAACAAGGTTCAAACCTAGGCCGGAGAGATAGTTTCAACTCTTACTGAACTTTTTCCTAGCATAGTCCAAGAAGCCGGTATGGGTGAGCTGATGTAACTTTACTGTAATAAAACAGAGTTCAAAAAACAGTCTTGATTTGTCGACCCAGAGTCCAAAACTTGCCCTGAGATAGAAGGTCACAATACCAGAGAGATCAGACATTACTCAGCGACCATGACATCCCACCAGAGAAGAATAATCCACCCCATTAACAAGGTCGTGCGGTGCACTGGATGAGGGTTAGCCCTGTCCATGTGGTGCAGACCTCACTGTTCTGCAGCAGCTGCCTTACTGTAGGGAGTGGTTGAATTTGGCTATGACCACTCTGGGGTAACACTGCTTCTCCTGCCACTCATACCATGTCCCTGCAGTCCACAGCAAGGGCTGTGGTTTATCTTGAGGAGTGGGTTACAGAACCAAACACAGTTTAGATGCAAGTACCACAGCTTTCTAAAGGACAGCTGGTAGTACTTCTGGACAGCTTTTCTCCTCCCCAAAATACGTAGGTCCCATCTCTTAATCTTCTCAACCTTGTTTCTTATCACCTCTACACTTGCTTGTAAATTAAAGGACTTCTGAGAGCTGGCCAGCTGATGGACAAGCTGCAGACAATGTGGGCTGCCAGCAGAAGATGAGTGACCAAGGACAACTCTGCTTGTCAATAAAACAGACCTTTACCCACTTTTGCAGGCTGGTGCATGTGGGGTTTTGCATGTGACTAGGAAACATGTACACAGAGAGAGTGAAAAATTAAACTGTTTGGGGGAAACTGGTTCAGATAGTGCCTGTATGTTTGGGATCCTTAAGAAGGAGGTTAGCAGGTGAGCAGGCTAAGGTCCAAATTCCCAATGTGACGCACACAGAGAGATCATGATACTCTTGGAGTTTTTTTGATGAAAAGTAAAATATAAGAACATGAGTGTACAACTGTACATATTTTGTAATAGGATTCTTTGAGAATAGTTGCTGATAAAACAGGATTTCTGCTGTGAAGAAATAATCAAACCTGTAGTCAGTCCTCTGCTAATTCAGTAGTCCTAAATTTCAATAAACAGTGGCTCTGTCCCCAGGAGTTCCTCTGGCAAAGGAGTCCTTCAGAATATGGAAGAGTACCCAAATACAGTTTGAAGTAATCTACAGCAAGGATGACTAATTAAAGACACAAGCCTCTGACAGCATCAGGAAATGAGAAACAAAGACTGAGAGTGAGAGACCACTTTCTCATATGATAAAAGTGAGAAGAAGAATTATTCTTGGTGTTAAGTTTTGCAGTGAGTGAAGTCAATGTCCTGCTTGCTTTTATTTTTTTCATCTTCTCTCTCTGTTTTGATATGTGCAGACCTTGTATTTGCATTAAAATTGACACTGATTCTTATACTCTTTTTAAATTTACATGTGGTAACAAACAGGCCCCTTAATTTAAAAGCTATTTTGGGCAGGACAAAGAGGAAGTACAAGAGTGCTGTTAGCCCTGAGTGAGGCAGGGGATGGTAGGCGGCTGCTTCTCCTGGGAACTAAAAGGAGGTGCCAGGGAGTTGTTGTCTTGGAAATCACACCCAGGGCAGGATTATCAGGGAATTGTTTAGGTTGGAAAAGACCTTTAAGATCAGCAAGTCCAACCACACACCCAACACTGCCAAGTCCCTCACTAAACTACATCCCTAAGTAAGCGCCACATCTACATGTCCTTTAACTATCTTCAGGGATAGTGACTCAAATACTGCCCTGGGCAGCCTGTTTCAGTGCTTGACAACCATTTCATTGAAGAAATTCTTCCTAATATAGAATTATAGAATCATAGAATAGTTAGGGTTGGAAAGGACCTTAAGATCAAGTTCCAAGCCCCCTGCCATGGGCAGGGACACCTCGCTCTAAACCATATTACCCGAGGACTCGTCCAACCTAGCCTTGAACACTGCCAGGGATGAAGTATTCACAACCTCCCTGGACAACCTATTCCAGTGCCTCACTACCCTAACAGGAAAGAATTTCCTCCTTATATCCAATCTAAACTTCCCCTGTTTAAGTTTTAACCCATTACCCCTTGTCCTACCACTACAGTCCCTAATGAAGAGTCCATCCCCAGCATCCCTATATGCCCCCTTCAGATACTGGAAGGCTGCTATGAGATCGCCACGCAGCCTTCTCTTCTCCAGGCTGAACAGTCCCAACTTTCTCAGACTATCTTCATACGGGAGGTGCTCCAGTCCCCAGATCATTCTCGTGGCCCTTCTCTGGACTTGTTCCAACAGATCCATGTCCTTTTTATGTTGAGGAAACCAGAACTGCACACAATACTCCAAGTGAGGTCTCACAAGAGCAGAGTAGAGGGGCAGGATCACCTCCTTCGATCTGCTGGTCACTCTCCTTTTGATGCAGTCCAGGGTGCAGTTGGCTTTCTGGGCTGCAAGCGCACACTGAATCTGGCTCATGTTCATTTTCTCATCGACCATCACCCCCAAGTCCTTCTCCACAGGGCTGCTCTGAATCTCTTCTCTGCCCAACCTGTAGCTGTGCCTGGGATTGCTCCAACCCAGGTGTAGGACCTTGCACTTGGCATGGTTAAACTTCATGAGGTTGGCATCAGCCCACCTCACAAGCGTGTCAAGGTCCCTCTGGATGGCATTCCTTCCCTCCAGCGTATCAACCGAACCACACAGCTTGGTGTCATCGACAAACTTGCTGAGGGTGCGCTCAATCCCACTGTCCATGTCAGCGACAAAGACGTTGAACAAGACCGGTCCCAACACCGATCCCTGAGGGACACCACTCGTTACTGGTCTCCAGCTGGACATTGAGCCATTGACCACAACTCTTTGTGTGCAGCCATCCAGCCAGATATCCAATCTAAACCTCTCCTGGTGCAAATTGAGGCTGTTGCCTCTTGTCCTATTGCTTGTTATTTGGGAGAAGAGACCAACACCCACCTGGTGACAACATCCTTCCAGATAGCTGTAGAGAGCGACAAGGTCATCTCTCATTCTCTCTTTCTCCAAATTAAAAAACCCCAGTTCCCCAGCCACTTCTCATAAGACTTGTGCTTCAAACTGTTCACCAGCTTTGTTGCCCTTCTCTGGATCCACTCCACTACCTCAATATCTTTCTTAGAATTGTAGAACTGTAGAAGAATCATAGGATTATTTAGGTTGGAAAAGACCTTTAAGACCATCAAGTTCACCTGTATGTCAATTATATCCAAATGTATATCTTGTACTGAGAGGCCCAAAACTTAATACAGTGTTTGAAGTGTGGCCTCACCAGTGCCCACTACAGGGGGATGATTACTGCCCTAGTCCTGCTGGTCACACTATTTCTGATACAGGCCAGGATGCCATTGGCCACCTGGACACAAGCTGGCTCATGTCCAGCCACCTGTTGACCAACACCCCCACGTCCTTTTCCACCAAGCAGCTTTCCAGCCACTCTTCCCTAAGCCTGTATCATTGCATGGTGATGTTGTGATCCAGGTGCAGGACTTGGCACTTTGTGTTGTTGAACCTCATACAATTGGCCTCATCCCATCTATCCAGCCTGTCCAGATCCCTCTGCAGAGCTTTCTTACCCTCCAGCATATCAACACTCCCACCCAATTTGGTATTGTCTGCAAATGTATTGAGGGTGCACTCAATACCCTCATCCAGATCACTGATAAAGATATCAAACAGAACTGGCCCCAGTACTGAGCCCTGGGGAACATCACTTGTGACCAGCTACCAAATGGGTTTAACTCCATTCACTACAATTCTCTGAGCCTGGACATCCAGGCAGTTTTTTACCCAGTGAAGCTTGTACCCGTTCAAGCCATGAGCAGCCAGTTTCTCCAGGAGAAGGCTATCAGAAATGGTGTCAAAGGCTTTACTAAACTCATGGTAGACAACATCCACAGCCTTTCCCTTACCCACTAAGTGGTTCACCTCATCATAAAAGATCAGGAGATCAGATCAATAGCTACTAGTACTTTGAGGATCTAAGGACTCTTCCTAGCTCTCTTTCTAGCTACCAGGAGCTGTCCTTGGAAAGAGACTATTATGATGCCTGGAACAAGGACTGCTTGCTCATGCAGTCCCATCCCATACCCAATGGCAGTCCCTGAGCTGGCAGAGAAGTGTGCCCAGCTGATTCAGGAGCATCTAAGATTGGCTGTGAACAAATCCATTTGCTCTTCCTTATTGTTGATATCTGCCTGATTCACTCTCACTTACTGTTTTAACTCTTGCAGCTTCCAATCTGACCTTCTGCTTTAGCAGCATTGTTGTGAGTCAGTGCACAGCCCAGACATGCACTGGGAGCTCTGCACTGCCAGACTGTGAGCAAATAGAGCAGCTCAGCTCATGGCATACAGCTAGGATCCCTTGCTTCCTGCCTAAACTGTTTGGCCTCACAGATGCAAAGGATGATCTCTACCCAGCTTATCCTATGGCTACTGGGTAGTGAAAGTGAATGAAAATTTTGCATGGAGCTTATTTACTTCTATTATTAGACTGCTATGAGGTCTCCATGCAGCCTTCTCTTCTCTAGGCTGAACAGCCGTAACTTTCTCAGCCTGTCTTCATACAGGAAGTGCTCCAGCCCCTTGATCGTCCTTGTGGCTTCCTCTGCGCTTGTTCCAACAGTTCCACATCCTTTTTATGTTGAGGACACCAGAACTGCACACAACACTCCAAGTGAGGTCTCACGAGAGCAGAGTAGAGGGGCAGGATCACCTCCTTCGACCTGCTGGTCACACTCCTTTTGATGCAGCCCAGGATACGGCTGGCTTTCTGGGCTGCGAGCACACACTGCAGATGGCTTCTGTTCAGTTTTTCATCAGTCAACACCCCTGAGCCCTTCTCCACAGGTCTGCTCTAAATCTCTTCTTGCTTCCACCTTCTATAAGCTTCCTTTCTCCTTCTGAGTTTTCTCAGCAGTTCCTTATCCATCGATGGAGGCCTTCTGGCCTTCTTGCCCCATTTTCTTCTAGTCAGGATGCAACACTCCTGAGCTTGTAGCAGGTGATCACTGAATATCAACCAGCAGTCATGGACCTCCCTGCCCTCCAGGGCTTTATCCCATGGAACCTTACTAAGCAGGTTTCTGAATAGGCCAAATTCTGCTGCTTTGGAGTCCAGGGCAGTGAACTTGCAGCCTGCCCTTCTCACTGCCCTGAGGATCTCAAACTCCACCACCTCGCTATCACTCAAAGAATAAGGGGGAAATTGGGTAAAGCAATGAACAGACCAACCAGTAGATAGATGGATAGATAAATAAATATGTTGACGCTCTTTTCAAATAATGAATAATGTAACAAAGCACACTACTCATTAGAAACATCCGGGCTCTCTATGTTTTGAATTAAAATATGTCTTACATTCATATTTAATAATATAATTAATACTTATCAAGAACTAAAATGTTCTAAGTCATAAAAATATGCACTAAAATTATCTGTAGGAAGGGACTCTACATTTTGTGTAGAGAATTCTGCAGAATTTTCTCTCTGTTCTTACAGTTATTTACTCCCTAATTCTACTCTTCACCAAGTTCAAGAACCTGCCAAGATTGTATATGTGCTTCAATAACTGCTATCTTGAATTGTAGCTCTGCATATCTTCATTAACTCATATCAAAATAATTTCAGATTTGTATCAATTCCCAGCTGATGCTGTGGTGGTCTGGAACCTCACTGCCTGGTAGGAAACATAAGAAGTTGATTTCAGGTCTAGCTCTTGGTGGGATGGTTTCTTCCATTTTCCCTGGCTTACCTCTCCACCTCTGAGTCTATTCTACCCAGACTTCCTCTCTTTTAAGGCAATGAGTTGGATATAAATGAAAGAGACCAAACATACTGGGTTTATAATATGGGCAAAATACATAGTTAGAATGGTGCATGTCCATGTTTGATTTATTGATACTAATTTCCTTTATAAACACAGCATTAAGAAATTTTATGGAGGAGCTGGATGAAATGTGCCATAATATTTAATGATGTTACTTGTTCTGCTGCCTAAATTAATGACACATCACCTTGCTGAAAGACAGATTTGTGAGTGATTTAGCTTCAGCTCAGTTATACTGTTTAGCATCTTTCTCAGTGGTGGGAAATGTAGTGTTCAAACAATGCCACAGTAACAAAAATAAATAAAATTGATTATGACAGTTTCCCA